GAGAGCACTCGAATCACCTATAAATAGCCATATCTCGGAGGAATAAGTCCATTCGTTAGTTAGGGAAGCTATAGACTATGCTGTAGACGACCCCTCCCGATATAGAAGGCCCCGACCCTCTGTCGAATGAGGCCCTCATGCCCCCAGTTAATGGATGATGATGAAAATTTTCTCATCCACTCACCCCAGTTAGGCAGGGGTTCACTGTGAAGGGCGGTACTGATGTCTAAAGATATTCATGCCGCCATGGGGACTATGATCCGTTTGTCCTTCTGACAAACACCAGTTGTGAGGGTAGGGGAGCCAGGCTCCAACCTGTACCTAATCAAGATGTTATCACCCGAAGACGATTGTGGATTCTAACAATCGAAACGTCGTGAAGTAATTTGGCTTGGAATCTTTTAATTTTTTATTTTCATTTCTTGTTGATAATTTTTAATTTCCATCTCGTGATAATAGTTCAATTAATTGAGTTTTTGATTGTTGCTTGTATTTTGTTTCATCGTAATTACAGTTTTTTTTTGCTTAATATAATTGTTATTTTTTTCAGCTAATCTTTTTAAGGTTTTATAGATTTTTTCAGGGATTTCAAGTCAATTTATATCATAGTAGACAATGGAAGTCCGAACCAATGAAATGCTCCATATTTTTTGTTCTACAAGCGCAACAAAAAAATCCGACCTAAAAAACGGCTTCGGTGGAGGGTGACCTTGCTCAGCATCTTCGATCGTACGGAATGTCTTTGTCGAGTTTTCACCAAATTTGAAATTTCAGTGGTTCTCTTGAGATGTGTGTATGAATGAAAGGAACGAAAGGAACGCCTGACGTATCAGTGTAATAGAGATGTGTTCTTTTGACACCTGTGTTGTATTATTCGTCATCTCCTGATGATGTCAACTTGGTTAGCGAAACCCCATGAATGACAAATGATAGTACGCTTCAAATAAGTCACACTGTGTATGTTCCTCATTAGAGAAGGGGGTATCGAACGCATCTTGGATTTTTCATTCCTTCATTCTGTTGTAATGTAACATCTATTTGATTTCACAATACATAATAAAAAATATTTTGTTATGAATATTTGTTTAAATATTTCCTTCTCAGTGATTGCTATTATTCAAATCGACTAGTATTAAAAAATTGAAAAATGTATAGGACAATTTAAATATTTGAAATAAATATTACTTCTCATCCTGTTGATTATACTCGAAAGAAAGTACAATTTTTCTGGGGATTACCTGGAAGATACTGTTGAGTGGAGAAATGCATTTGTGGTTCAGCCGAGCACCACTAATAAAACCAATGGCGGATAGAAATGACGCTGTCTGCTGCTGAATCATGAATGCTTTGTATTTGGGCTCTGGTGTCGATAGCAGAGTAACATGTTTGACAAATTTCTCTTACATCGTTTTTTTTCTATGAAACTTTTTATCTTATTGGAGTGAAAACCTAGAAAATATTTTTGTAGACGTTCAACGTAATTTTGTACTGAAAGGTTCCATCCTTCTCTCTCTCTCTCTTTCTATCTCATCCTATTCCTTTCCCCAAATTCAGTCCGAATTCGAAGTTTCAGAGAATATACTTGAAACAAAGGGTTAAAAACAGTCATTTGTTTGATTTCCCTGTACCACAACTTTCTTTTCTGTATTTCACTTTTTCTTGAGTTTTTTAAACAACGTTTGACGTAATACGCGATATGTTCGTTTTTGTTATTAAAATAATAAGAAATAACTAGTGATTTCAATTTTCAAAAAATTGATACCAGTTATTTTCTAAGAAAAATGATGATATTGCGCATCGTACTTTTATGAATTCACTCTTCTCCAATATCCTATTATGTATCTACAAGATGAATAATCTAATCATGCTACACGGAATGGTAATTTCCAACAAGTATTTGTACACATGTTTTAACAATTGATGCCATCCGTGATAATAAGAAAATAGTACGTCTTACCTAGAGAACAATTTGTGTTCGTTGACAATAAATCATAAAAATCTGAAGGTCATTCGAACTATTACCATGAACGGAGTTGGGGAAATATGCGAAAAAATGGCGTACAGTTAAAAACTGGGGAAATAGATAATTCCTACTAGCGCAAAAAATTAATTAAGTGTATCCTCTTCATGTGAATACAATTGGGGTGCATAATGACTTGGACCGATTTCATTGAAATTCATTGTCATTGCAAAAGAGTCACAAACAAATTTAAATATAACAGTTCTTAGCATGGATCTATTAGAATGTTCGTTTTGTGCTCATAGTAAATTGTATAATTACCTATTTTCTTTAACGAAAATCGAGAAGAAAGGGAGCAAAATGTTTGATAAAATCGCGCATCTAAAATTGATTGACAAGAACAAGGAAGATGCGCTACTGGAAAAAGTTTTGGAAAAAATTCAAGAGAATCCAAATATACAGATGCTGAAAGTATGAAAAAAAATAGAGAAACATTTTGTGATATGAATCATTAGCAATGGAGTGACAAATCAGGATTCAGAATGATTAATAACGAATGGACGTTAACGAGAAGTGTGACTGTCTCATCTAAGCTACCATATTATGAGCACTGGATTTTTTGATAATTCAGTATATTGAATACAATCATGATGAAATTAGAGCGAAAAAACAAAGTTTTCATGATTTATCATCAAACAGCGCTGTTTCAACCCGCCATGAGTCTCATCAGTGGTACTAGGCTGAACTACGAATTCATTGGTGGGCTTAACTGTCCTTGAAATACATATCATCATACAAAGGTGCCAGATCGATAAAAGAGGCATTCTTTGAACCACGAATGCGTTGTTTTTGGACTCTGGTTTAATCGAGTGGCCTTGCAGAGAAAGCTGCAGTGAAAGGCAGAGGACGAATAGATTTCGAAGCTTTGCTTTACAATTGATCGCTTTCGGAAACCTCGTTTATGATTTATATTTGTGGACTGAGTCTTATGTCGTTCTAATTTTCGGAAAAGGAGAAGTCTGTTTCTGAAATGGTGTTGGTTGACGAAGGACATGGAGTTATAAACTCCATAATACATTAGTTTGATTTTGTCGATCAACTTTTAAATTTTTAAAATAGTATATTGATTTTCATCAATAAATCAATTTTGATTATAAATGTTTACCTTCACCTTCACATTCAAAACTTCATTAGAAATTTGGATTGGAAAAGGAAGCCACTGGCTATCTACTTATCCATTCTCATACAGACATTGTGAGTAACTTGTAAAGGAAGAGAGAAGGCAATTCAGTTCAAAATAAACTCTAAAAAAGCCTTCCCACAGCAACTACTTTCAATGATTGTTACTGGAATTTTTCCCAACACCAAACCTTTATTTTAATACCTCGACACATGTTTAGATCACCAAGTTATCATATTCAAGAAGGAGATTAAACTGTTTAATCTTCCTCTTGAAGATGATCACTTGGTGATCGAAACACGTGTTGAGGTGTTAAAATAACGGTTTGGTGTTGGGAAACAAACTCCAGTAATATTCATTACTACACCAAAGGTTCCAAACAGTGCATCACAACTGCTCTTACATTGTGAGTAACTTGTAAAGGAAGAGAGAAGGCAATTCAGTTCAAAATAAACTCTAAAAAAGCCTTCCCGCAGCAACTACTTTCAATGATTATTACTGGAATTTTTCCCAACACCAAACCGTTATTTTAATACTTCGACACATGTTTAGATCACCAAGTGATCATATTCAAGAAGGATATTAAACTGTTTAATCTTCCTCTTGAAGATGATCACTTGGTGATCGAAACACGTGCTGAGGTGTTAAAATAACGGTTTGGTGTTGGGAAACAAACTCCAGTAATATTCATTACTACACCAAAGGTTCCAAACAGTGCATCACAACTGCTCTCACATGAACATTGTATTACACGAAAAAAAAGTACTTTCGAAATAATTACTTTCATATGAATATTGGAATATAGGAAAATCACTTTTTCCCATTCAGTTTGTACTGTAAACATTCGTTATAAAAGATAATAACCAGATAAAAGCAGCTCAATTTGCACCTGAAAGTAACGTCTTTGTGAAGAGTTTATTTCAAAATTCGGGAGTTTCCCATAATCTGTTTATGTAAATGGAGAATTATACTTCTCCAAATCTCAAAAGCTTGTTTTCCATTCAATCAAGATTTCGCTTCATTCATCACTTCATTTTTCATATGTATATAACATGCATAATATAGTAGAAAAACACTGATAATTTCAGAGGTGTCTAATGTGATATCGTAAATGAACATATTTTTTGCGCTTACATTGCAAACGCTTGCTGAACCCTACGAAATAGTTCAAAATAATGTACTGCAGTACTGTACATTTCAAAAAGATTTACAAAAAAGTCTTCGATGGTATCTGTCTATCTCTTAGGAAAAACCCACAATAACCATTTTTTATCCTTCACTTTTTTACGAAGCGATTTTTAGCGGGACAGGATTATTCCTTATCCAATTAAGTACTTTAAATATATTGTGCATTCAATACAAATCAGTATGACCCTTCACAGCTTGTAATTTAAATGAATTGATATTACATATTTGAAATGTAGGGACATAGCGGTTCCGGCGGTACCGGCCGGGGAGCCGGCGGCGCCAGCCTATAAATAGCACGTTAAAAGCCGATCATCGCCCTATAGCACTTCATGATAAGCAGCGATCGCACGCGTTTAAATGTATACTTAGTATCAGCATTGCACCCACGCGGAGTCGGGGCGGTTGACTAAGTATCTTAAAATTTATTCCAGATAATAATCTTCGCAATACCTCAAATTTTCTGGCATATAAATGAATTTAAAAAAATCGTTACTATCAGTGACAGTGACTTCCTATAATTCCATCCACTCAGTATTTGAATAAGAAATTATAGTCTTGTAGTGCCCTTACTTAGCTCGCTTTCTCATCATTCAGTATTGGAAATCCCGTCAATTAGAACAGAGGTAGTTAGGAGTCTTCTCTAAAAACCCCCTCCCAAACTGCGCCACTGCCACACTCTTTTATTTGTATATTAAGAGAATCTCCAACCAAGTTCCTAGTCCATTGACATCGATTGCTAGTTGAAGATCTAATTGATTGCCATGGAACTTTTTTTCTCGGGTGTTTTTTGTTTATTTATCGTCTCAGTGTCGAGTTCAGGCCTCAACCTAGAGTTCTCCTGGACCAGGATCAACTACGAGTGGCCCAGCAAAAGGCAAAGGTTTCGCAGAAGTAATGGAGTGAACCCCAGATATGGAGGAAGAAGCTATAATGGGAATGCTGACAGTATCATTTTTGAAGATCCAGATTTAGAGGTGAAGCCAATTTTTGGAAATGTTGGACAAACTAGTGAAAATTTGCAAGTGGCGAATGACGAACCTGTAGGGGATATCGATTATCAATATGGTAAATATTCAAGACAAAATTTGGACTGTTCGCAAAATAACTGAAAAGCAATATACAGTTTTGATAAATTCACGAATGAGTTGTTGAAAAATTCAATAAAAGGCAAAAAGTACTGGGTAATCTAAAGAAATTCAATTTGTTTGTCTCTAGAAATTGCAGTTTTTACCAGAAACATGTTGAATGGAAGGTCCATGACAGTCTTAATGTAATAAAAACTCAAGAATGCAATATTATAATAATCAGTTAACTGGTTTAGTGATCCAATAATATTTCTGAAAAAGGTTGCTTGAGTAACAGAATCAATTTTTTCTTAAAAAAATAATTGAATTCTTCTTCAGGACTCGAAAAGTAGTTTTTTGTGTTGATTACTGATTACTGTTTTAAAAACCCTCAGACAGATACATGTTAAAAAAAAAATACATTGCAACAACCAAACCAAACAAAACAACATGGAACGAACGAATTCGTTTGTGTAGGTGTTGTCTCGGAAATTTGGTGGTTTTTTTTTTTTAAATATGTATTTGATACTTTTGATGGTTTTTAAATAGTAATATCATCAACACGAAAAAACGATTTTTCGACCCCTGAAAAAGAATTTAATCAAATTCGTAACGTCGTCAAGAAAAGAATTGTTTTTTTAAGAAAAAATTGCTACTGTTACATAACCAACCATTTTCATTATGATAATTTATTGAAATTGTTGCTAATGAAATGAAATTGGTTTATGAGGCGATATATTTCATAGTCAAATATCGAAAATATATCAAATAGTAATGGGAATTGAACGGGGTATAATTTTGGGAAAGAATAATTTTTGTAAAAGAAAGGTTTCGGCTTTCTACTTTTCCATCTTTACACAAATAAACGTGGGAGTCTTCCAAATCCGAATATAATAATAAGGATCATCTGAAATAATGTACAGCTCATGTTCCAACTGATATTTTTACTATTGATAATTCTCATCGATATCATTTTATCATACTTCACACAGAATAAACTTGTTAATCTTTCCACGCATTGAATTCAAAACCACTACTAATAAACAACAAACATTTCTGTATAACTGCAACTGTTTTGGAACTTTTGAAATATAATGACGTAATGAAAATTTAATTTCAAATATTTTCTATTATAAATTCATCAGTAACTAGTAATTTAGCCTATCAAAAAATAGCCAATAAATTATACATAATCATCTTGCCGTTTTTGAAGCCAAAATCTGTCTTTGTCTTTAGAATTGGAAACAGTATTATGATACTGACAATTTGTCTTTGCTTCGCTCTACGATTCCTACAATTGTCAAAGAAACCTGAGTGTTTTTCACATTGTGGAAGGTTATAAAACCTATAATAACTCCTACCGGGAAATCTTCATATTGCTCTGTCAGCTTAGCGCAAAATGGGAACATATGACGTCATACAGGTCGGTCAAATGATAAGTATAAGCGAATTTGAAACGTAATTCATAATATGATTTTCAGAACAATAAAAATATAATGAATATTTTGTGTTATACCAGGAGCGTATGAATGGTGTCGAAACGTTTGCAGAAATAATTGAAACCCCTAGTAGAATATTTAAATACTGATTGTTATTTCAGATGGTCTCAAAAAATTTTCAATAATTTTTATTCGCAATTGTCTGATTTTTATTTCTCATTGTTAATCCATTCCGTTACATTTATTTTTCTGATTTTTTGGTTCTGAACTCTTTTTTCTGCTTTGAAATATTTTATTTTCATCGATACCTAAATATTGTTTACTGTTTTTAAATTTAACCGGAGGTTGAAAAAATTAGTGAACTTGAACTTCGTGTATTGAATTAACACATAAACTCTGGACCCTGAACTGGGCACTTAAGAAATTATTAAATATGAAAAGTTCCAAAGAGATAATGAGATGATCCATAACATTCGTATTAAACGAATCATGCCTCATGTATATTCTTTCATCAGTTGATATAGATAGAAATAAAAAGAGATCGTTGTGAATTGATTTATGATGATTAAATTGAAATCGTCATTGATTTTACAGGAAGTAGTTGAACTGAAATGAATTTGCTTATTTCGATAATTTAAATTCGGAAAAAAGAATTTCATTTTCACTATTAAAGTTTTGTCAAATTGGGACACCAAAAACAAAACTTTTGATAACAATAAATGATCGACAAGTACAAAGCACAATATTTGAATAAAGAAATTGGTCAATTCTTCGAAAGTATGCATATAAATTATAAGATAGATTATAAGCATATCTACTACACAATATATTACTGTTCAACAAAAGTAGTGATTTTCTTGTTCGAAGTTTTTTTGGGGAGTTTTTGTGTATACTCTTACACTAGCTTTCAATAGAAAGGACCATGAAGTGGAATAATGCTGAATATCAATATTCATTAGAACCCTATCATTTTTAAAAATGGTTTAGTAGAAATACAAAACTTAGTTAAGAATAACTGTTTTTTTGGATATATAATCTTACACAATCTTTTTTCAGTGGTCGACGTATCGGAAAACAATCTTGACGTATGTCAAAAGAATTAGAACTTTCACAATTTAAGGCGAATGTTTCATGGTGAATTTCAGGTTCTGAAAACATAAACCACTAAAGAAAGATTGTAAAAGGTCATATATCCAAAAACCAGTGGAAAGTATCGAGTGCTCTATAAAAAAATGTCTTTTGAAGAATATTTACGAGTTAAGAATCTTTTGATGGTACCCGGCTGCTTATTATTACGTTATTATTCAAAAAATTGTTTTTCTTCAAACGTCGAGAGGGCTTGATGTTTTCTGTGACAGAAATTCTGATACTAAACTCGTCATCACCATGGTAATGGTTCTAGTTTTAATGCCAGCAGCAGTGAAAGTAACAACTTTCACTCCCGCTAGCTAGAAATGCTAGAATGATCTGAATTATAGAATAAAATATATCCAAACTAGGTTTTCTCAATAGTCACATAACCTGAAACACAAAAATAAAACTGTCATGAACATATGACACAGGTGAGTTTTAACATAAATGACGTAATTATGACGAATTGTACTCCAAAAATATATTTTTCTAAAGTAATACCAGATAACCTCGTAATATCATCAATTTTGTTTATTGAGACTTTCAAAATGCCTTCGATTAAATAGTCCATTATGTTCTTCTCTTCACATTAACAAAATTGGGAGTCTCCAATCGAATGCTTACTATAATCGAATCAAATCTAGTCAACAGAAAACAATTCCTCAAATATGAATCTTCTAAATCGGCTCAACACGTTGTAACGTCTGGAGTGCCACAAGGTTTCAATCTTGGACCTCTTTTATTTTTTATTTTTATTACTGCAGGTGACCCGAAACTATATTATGAAATCGACAGCCAACTATTGTTGGCTGTCCTTGTTAATTTTTCACTACCTGAGTGCATTGGTTCGGGATGTGGGGGTTGAGCAAATCGGCCATCGGATTCCTGCTTCCACATAGCATCGCTGGATACGGGAAACACATAATCACTTGCAGCTCTGTTATTTCCTAACTGAATGGCATCCCAATGATGGCCTAAAGTTTGTGTATCCATGCCGAGAGGATGAATGACACTGAGCCTATCAGATATCGGGCATCGCCTTGTCACGGTAATGCGGGGCTCTGCCGTGATTGACCTTCTTTCCCTAGCTACTCGTGGGACTTTTATGGACAGATTGAACTCAAAAATCATTTCTGATGCTGAGTCTACAGAGGAGATGGATGTCGAGCTTACGACTCCTACTGACCTCCCTGTAAATTCAGATCAGGAGCGAGAGCTTCTCGACTCTCCAACTCCTGATCCAATAACTGAACATAGTTAAAAGGTTCGGTGGTGCCAGGAAACGACTGACTCATCTCCTCAAGAGCGGGGTACCTTATGAAACCGCCTTGCACCAAATTCTTGAGCGGCGTAAGCAGAATCTGTCTCAAGTGGAGGAACAAACCACCTATGAGCAGGTTTGCAAATGTTTGCGCTCAGGTGATGATTCACCCAAACCAGAGGCGAAAATGCCCTGCACGGTTGAATCTAAGGCATCGCCAGGTGTAGCTGACGGGAAAAAAATCCTCATATCGGAAGGTTGTCGCGGGTATCAAGGTGGGAATCTTGCACCCTGACTATCCGACTACCTCATTAATGATAAAACAGCAGAGCATATACTTTGTGTCTGCTCCGCTGGTGACCGAATCAGGTTTTTATAGTTCGGCAGAGCCGTACTCTTACCATCTGACCATACAAACTAATCGGCTTCGTTAAGAAGCTGGGTTTATTTGGTCGAGTGTTAATTGTTGTGAGCCACAATAAACCCTTGCGAATTGTAATGAAGGGTCGAAAAGACCCACTTACTTTGGACCTAACCTAACCTAACTGCCATTTAGCTCGATTTTTTTGTTTGAACCGTTTATGTTCACACTACAAAAGTAACAGCCATCGGTATGATTTTTTGGTTCTCGCCAAATAGTTGGTGTTTCAATTTCCAAGGCACTTCTCTTACCACTTTTCCATTATCTCGAATATTCCTTAGACGATTTACAAATACAATCAGGAACTTAAGACTTCTCATGTTCATCCTATTCTATCCTAAAATACTAAAAATGGGTATTTTTCACCAATTTTGATGTAACGTTTCTACATTTTTTCAACACATATTCTCCGCATATATAGCAAAAGTTATTTGGATTGTTGAAACAACGTCTCTTAAACTTCTCATGTCGGAAAAACTTTAGATCCTAATCTTTACTCAGTAAAATATCCACGTTATCGATAAGATGGTAAGAATCAAAAACAAAGTAACCCGAACTGCACAAAATCTTTTGAGGGTCGATTTGACAAAAAAAGGTCATAAGTAAACACTATCGACCACTGCGACAACAGACAAAAAGGTAAGTATGATTATATTATCAAGAATAGGATACTAGTGAAACAATAGAAACCATGGGTTGTTGATTTAAACATTCATATCTCAATTATTGTTGTGTGACGGACAACAATA